CTGGACCAGGACTGGTGAATTGTCCATTTGACTTTGGTAGAACATAATTGAACACCCATCTCTATTCATCGCAGCACTCTAGAATCAGGATTGATTCCCCCTCAAAGTCAGTGGAAATCCCTATTGTGGTTGATAGCCTGAGATCAAACCAGAATATCCTTTGGGAAAAAAAAAGAATGAATAGTGATCAGTCTCTCTTCCCAGTGCTAGTGATTGACAGTGCAAGACAATTGGAGAACCTCCACAATATTTTTCCTAGGAAAACTTATTTTTGGTATGCTAATCTTATCTCTGAATATATACCCTCATCGTAGTATTCATCTCTCTGCCCTTGGTAATCATCAGCCCATCCCTAATGTTCCTTTTGTTCAGAAAAGGTAAACTCACTTTTCAGTAGCAGATTATACAAAGGGAACTTTATGGTATATATTACACTCACAAAGCAGTTTTCTCCATCTTGCAATCACTTAAAAAAAAAAAAAAAAGAACTTTCTTATCTCATCTTCCTTCCTGCATGAATGTCTGAGATAATCAATGAAGTTCCTGTGTAGAGAATAAATTGAGCTCGAATGGCTCCTCTTAAACTGTACAATCAAAGAAAGAGGACGTTTTTGCTGATGATTTTGATATTCAGTTTAACTTTCTTCACAAGGCTGTCAGCTCAGTGAAAGTGAGGTCAATCTGACCACACTCTTCCTAAAGGATCCTCTTCTGAACCATCTACTTGAGTATACATCTCCTGACAAATCAATGACAGAACGAAGAGGTGTGTGCTTTGCCCAGAAACCTGGGGGCTGATTGTCCTTTGCTGTGCATCTTATGTAGTCATTTAGGTGAGTACAGCGTGGGCGTAAGACAGTGCCTGATAAGAATAGTACTGTTTAGCATCTGCATCCTGGTGATATAAATGCCTGCCTGAAGATGCGGGACAACAGAGATGCAGACCTGTGTCCTGCAATGCGAAAAAATTCAGATTGTGGCACTCACACACGGGTACACACAGGAACCATTTCAGTGAAAGGGTGGTAAATGAGTGACAATTTTAAACAAACTTTCTGAAGTCACTGATTCAGAAATCTGAGTTTTTTACAGGACAGATGTTGGGAGACAAGCAAAATATAGGAACTTAACAGAGACCAAGAAACTTGTCCTTCCATCTTTCAGTGTAATTTGCATTTCTTGGCCAGGAGCACTTACTGCCAGCTCTGGGGTAAGGACTGTTGCACTCCTGTGAAGTTATAGCGTGGTGTGGGACTGCTTCACAACAGCAACACAAGTAAGTGCAGTGAAAGTGACTGAAGTCCCTCAAACATTCTTTTGTTAAATTATGCAGATCAAGCCAGTTGTCTCAGAAGTGAACAACAGTTGTTTGAACCAGTTCAGATCTGTCTCTAGGGTTATTACCCTCAGACATTTACCATTTTGGGCCTATCCTGCTCAAGGATGAGAAGGGAGGAACCAAAGTAGAGGACAGGAGTAACAAAAGCGGTAACAAAGAGTAGAGGAGGACTAAAACTCAAGGGAAGATCTGGAATGCTGGAAAACTGATTAACTTGAGAGAGTTCCTTAAAATTCTTACCTGGTGTAATGAATCTGTGCCTTGCACTTGGGCCTGAGAGGTTTTGTTGGTGAATCAGATTCATCTGTTCATGGACAAACCCTCGTCTCTCTTCCCCTGACTTTTCTCCCACAAGTTCTCTTCTGAGCTTGTCTGCATCCTTATGTGAAATGAAGTAGTATGTATGAGAATAAGGGTATTACATCCTGGGTAATATCCATTATGTTGCATTCTATTAGCTCTCAATTCTTGGGAGTGCATTACTGCATTATTTCTTTTGTGCCAACACTATTCCATCAAGGCCAGTGCTGGCTTACTCAGTTGTATCAATGATTTCTTGTAAGGCAGCCTAGGCAATATGCTGTAATATATATTATACTATGTGATTTTTAAATCAGCTTTGCAAATGTATTCTAAAAATTTTGCAGCTCTTCAGTCAAATCCTATTGTCCATCATTCCTAATGATGATTACTGGTTAGCAGAAAACAAATAAGAGGTGATTTTTGTACACATAAAAAAGATCAGCTGAGTGAACACAAATCTTTAGGAAGCTTAGGAATGAGAATTTTGCTTTGACCCTTTCTGTAGAAAGCTTTTCAGTTGTTTTGTAAAACAGGAAACAAAATAAATTGCATAATTTTGGAATTGTATATGTTACAATACAAAGGTGTTAAAGAGTTAGATGTGAATTGAAACATATTTTCACTTACTCTGAATCACAATTGTAGTCAGACATTTTTTCAGCTGAACAAATGAATTAAATTTTATTCCTTCAATTTTAAGAGCATTAAAACACTGTTACTTTTCTGGTTTATGAATGCAATTTTAGACAGCTAAGATCACATTTCTATTCTAGAAATGTTACAGTATTTTTAAAGTAATGTTGATATTTAGAAGCATTTCAAAGTTTTGTTTTGTGTGGGTTTTTTAAAAAAAAGTTTCTTTCCATCTTATGTTCTTCCTAGGAAAAGATATAGTTACTGCAGTACTTTTAAAATTTCTTTGCATCCCAGTTTCTTTGCAGTGAAAAATGCTAATGCATAGAGTTTTTTTGTAACAATGTGTATTTTATAGTCAAACTTCCTATGAATGGTAAGTGATATTCATTAACCTAAAAAGGCTCAAGCCAAACACAGGACACACTGCGGGCAGGAGTGCTCTGTCCCAGGCGAAGTTACCTCACCTCTGCTCCATGTACATGGACAGTGAGTGCAAGGGACAGGCATAGGAGAGGTAATATTTTTGAGTGGCCATGTTAAATGAGGCTAAATTGAGGATGTGGAGGACTCAGACATGATTCTCTGTTGCTGGCCAGGCTCTGCCCCTCCAGCCTGAGCAGGTGAAGTTTAGGAAACTCAGTGCAGTCAAAGAGTGAGTCCTGACCTCTCACTATGACCACTCAGTCGGCCCACGTTATTTTGTTTGTCTTGGGGACACCTTCCTACTCAAAGGCAGCATTCACCTGCCTTCTCACACTAAATTTTCTCATAATGTTTCACTGTGTAGTGGCGAAAATGATGCTGCATGTATCTTTGAGAGATGAAGCTTAGGATTGAAGTGTACACAAGACAAAAGAGAAAAGAGAAGTGGAAGAAGAGAGGACTAATGCTGGTAGGGATAGGGGAAGAACAGGGGGGATGCAGAATATTTATCAGAAAGACCAAGCTGAAAGGCATGTAAATTCAGTTAACAGCTTGAAAACAGGTAGACACATTAAAGGAAGTGGGAATAAAGTCAATTAGTGGCAGGAGGCATTAGTTGGGGGTGTCAGCTGGTGAATGGTGGCTAATTTGATATAGTCTAATCACATAGTTTGGCTATTGGATTACCAAATTGAGATCCAAACACTGCATCTTCCAGGGCAATCACTTCAGAAAAGAGGATAGCTGGAATTATCATGAGACCTGATCCATTCCTTAATTGAAATTAGTTTTAAATAACTGTGTCACATGTGATGTAAAACCAAGAAGTAAATAGTTGCTGAAATGAGCTGTGAAATATGGCTGTTCAGGAAGATGAGGATGCATGAACTATGCATGCATGGGCTAAGCTGTAAATGTGCCTGTGGAGGTTCACACACATGTACACCAAGAGTGAGCATGTAGAGATACTTCCCTCTCTGCTGTGCTCTTTGTCTCCAACTCCCTATGGACAGTTGCTCCCATTTGGATGAAACGTATTGAGAATGCCAAGAATCAGTTCAGTTTTTAGTGACCAGCTGGTAGAGATGTATTGATATATGTCTGAAGGTTGTATGCACCTTGTACACCTTTGTAAGAGCCTGGGCAGCCTCTCTAGCACTGTTTACTTTCTGGCTTTAACAGGAATGGATGGGTAGGGGAAAAGAAGAGGAAACAGGAGATATATAAAGTGATTTTTTTTCTGACAATCAATGGCTTAGCAATTTCCTGAATCGGAGGTTATATCCAGACTTAGGAAGCTATGCTCTACAAATTTCTCTAATATTTTCAAATCTATTAATTTTTTAGCCTCTTGTAATCATGTTGCAGCTGAAAATTTATACAATTATATACTCTGTGGAAAAAATGGCTTTGTGTGTTGTAAAGGTGGTTCTTGCTCCCTTTACTGGGTGCCCCTTCCTTCTGATAATGTGGGTAGAGGTGCAATCTACCCTTGTGTGCTACTGCTGGGCAGTTTTGACCTTACATGTCTCTGTCAAGTCCTCCTCAATCATTTATCTTCCTCACTAAAAAATGTAAATTTCTCACATATCCTTTGTCTTCAGCCATGCCTCCATTCCCTCCACCTTTTTTAACTGTTTTTTGTATTTGATGACTGAGTTCAGGCTTCAAGGTTTTCTTCCCTCTGTATCGTTTACCCATCCAGTCATTGTTGGCATATATACTGCAGGAAGAGGAAAGATGTTCACGGGAAGAGGGCTTCTCTGTCAATCTTGCCATTGCATTCCTGAAAGCATTCTGCCCATTCTGGAGCTTACCTCGAGGCTGGATGCAGAAAAAACTTTGCCTGTATCATAGGCAGTATTTCTGATGTCTGTGATCTGTTAAGTGGAACACGAGAGCACAGGGTGTATCTCCTTTAAAGGACCTCTTTGAAGCTACACTGTCTGTAGTCATATTGGTCATGATTTAGCATGATGTTGCCCATCTTTGTGCAGAGAAACACTCTCTATGAGATGCTTTGAGTTAGGCATATGCTTAACTATGCCAAATTGTTTTAAACCACCGATGTAAAAGGTGGGCATGGGACTAGAGAGATGTGAAAGTTTCCATTCCTGCTTGCTAGCACATATCGTAAGTGCAGATCAAGCTGAACTCACACTTCAGAGAAACACAGAATAACCCCAAATGACTCCCTGTATAAGAGAGCTGCTCCAGTTTACACTAGAGTTTAAATGAAATCTAAGTTCTTTTTCTTTGCAGGTAGGGATGAATATCAGCCGGCAACAAAGGAACAAGTGAAGGAAGTATCTTAGGCAATTTTTTCAGAGTTTATTTTTTTGGGCTGATCTGGGGATCAGCAGGATTGGACCTTAGCATCAGCAACCTTGAGCAGACTGCAATGGCTCTGCCTTTAATACACTTCCACCTCAGTGTGTTATACAGCCGTAATACTGAACACACGAGGCAGACAGCTGCCCTGAGGCATTCTCCGTAAAAACTTTCATATCACAACGGAACTGAACGTACCATTATAGCACCACGTCTCCTCTTCTTCACGGTAAGAATTTTTCTGAAAACCAGGCAATGTCATGGAAATGTTATAATAGATACATCCAGAATATATGGGTGAGTTAGTTGTCCCCAGTGATATATTTAAGCTGTTCCTTCCACTATGCATAGAGCAGGTTAAATATAATTAACATTGGTCAAAGGGTCCTTTTACTTTACATACTTTATGAATGCATTACCTCAATTATCAGGAAGGAAAAAAGGGAAAACGTATTTCTCAACATCTGCTGGTGTAAGCTCCTCTATGGCATTTCCATTGCAACATGCATTTTTGCTCTTTGAAAAGCATAAATATTTTCTCTCTCCTTAAATCCCATAATTGTTTTATTGCTACGTTAAAAAATGTAAATAATCATTCCTCCTCCCCATAATAAATTAGACACAACCTGTCAAGCTCTGAAAATGAACATTTCAATAACTTCAGTCACACAATGACATCATATCAATATTTAAAATCATTTTATGCATGTATTCCAGGTTGTCCAACTTCATTAAGGGCATTCATCAGCCCTCCGGCTACAGTGTATTCCCATCGGAGTTGTAGGCCTCAGGCCCTACCAAACAGAAATTTAAACTAACTTGCCTTTTTAATTCACATTATTCTCAAATATTCTCTTTTTTAACCCCCATCATGACTAAGGCATTTAGACTTGGCTATGATTTTTTGCACATCAAGATTTAACAGACAAAATCCCCATTTTTATGTCAGAACTTGAGTACATGTAATAATAGTCTTTCCTCTCCTCTTTCCGCATGCATCACTATTTCCTGAGTGCAGTGATAACTGTGCTTCCTTTAATACTCTATGCAAAGTTAATAATTTGAGCTACAGGTTGATAGGGATATGGGGTTGTTGGGGTTTTATGTTTAAAAATTTAGAAACGGTTCAAACATACTAAGTTTCATTCTTTTTTTCTCTTTCTCTTTCCAAAATAATAAAAAAAATCCCCTCTTGATCTATTTTTTATGCAGCTAAGGATGCGCAGCATGAATACATATCCCTGCTAGTGGCATCAAACATTGTATTAGTATAAAACTTTTCCCCACCAAAAAAACTTCCAAAACAAAACAAAAAAACACTCTTCTCATAGTTCTGATCTATAGGATGACTGTGGATCTGCTCCCCAAGACGTTTACTGATCTTCAGAATTCCTGGGTAAAACTCACATGTACTATACAATACAGGAATGATAATTTTGATATCAAAAAAAATGTCTTTGCTACTGGCCAGATAGTGTAGCTTTGACTGAAGCCTCTCATTTATTCTCCCAGATATATGTGGAAAGTGTTTAAATATCTATCATTTGATACCAAAAAAAAGGTGGAAGCGTGTGGAAGCAGCCAAGTTAATACAACGTGCATCTGAGGATGAAACAAGCCCATGAGAGATATTGGTGACTGAAAACATAAAAGTTGATGTAATGTATGTCATTGTTATTAGCTCCTCTGTCCAAAATGTTCTGACCATGTCATAACCATGTATAAAGCTAGAGATCTGATGATGGTACACTAATGAGTTATGATCCATTTGCCTTCAAAAATGAAAAATGAAAGAAAGAGAAATTAAAAGAACAGGAAAAAAACCAGTAACTGCAGGAATAGCTTTTGGATATTTTCCCCCACAAGTAGCACTTTTTTAAACAACTGTACTTCTCTCAGTTTTCTTCTGCTCTCTGCATCTCTCCTTCCCCTCCCACCCCACCTTGTTTCAGAGTTCCAGCAGCCACGTTTTTCCTTATGTCATTCCAAATGTCTTCTTTTTCTCATTTTGTTCCTCCGACTTTCACAGCCTTCTGGATTGAAGGCCTCCCTTAGTTATGGCACACAATACAGTCTGTCAAAGTAAAAGAATTTCAAACTGCCCTTGTCCCTTTGGTGGTGGTAAAACTACTCATCATCTATGATTTATCCTTCTAGAAAGAAGCAGGTGCTGTCTCTTCTGTGAAGGTCCTGCATACCATTCCCCTCCAGCAAAGCTCTGAGGTTCAGTTTCTCAAAGACATGGAAATCCAGAAAAAAAATTCAGCTTCCTAAGGCCAAAATTTGCTGTCTGAAAACACTACTCAGCTAGGTGTGGGCTTCCATAAAACTGTACCTTACCACAGGTAAGAAGCATCTTGAAGTATTCCCACTGCATCCCATAAAGCTCCACAATGTTGTAGTATGTGGGAGGTTTTTTGTTTGTTTTTTGGTTTGTTTGGTTTTTTTACCTAATTATTATCAGACTTAACTCTTTAAAAGTACCTAGGAAAATGTCTTACTTTCCAGCTGTGAGGTGCTCTGAGTCATTTTGTCTCCTGTTCCAGCAGGATTGTCCTGACATGGAGTCTGCTCTGCCAGGTGTGCCCAGATATCTTCACTTACGGTCTTTATCTCAAGGGCGGTCCTAGAGAAGGGTACTGCCGATGACAGCCACCCAGTCTGTTAAGGCAGTCTGGAGTCTGCTTGTTTACTCTCCGCAGTCACCTGTCAATCTGACTACAGAAAAGTTGGAGCTGTTGAAGGAGTTTGTGTCCTTTGGAACTACTGGCAGGTACTTCGCAAAAAATGAGTTGGCCTTCTTCCTGGAGGTCATGTGGGCTCCAGGGCAGGCTGCCTTTGGAGCCAAAACCTATTCTCCCAAAATACCGCAAGGACAAGCTAATCCTAACATTTCCATTACCATCCAGACCGTATCCACAGAAGTAAAAATAAGAGCTAGGAAAGAGAAGTTGTTTGAGACAGGGAATACCCCTTCCTGTTTAAACAGCTAATTGAGAAGGATGATGGTGGTGGTGGTGAAAGCACAGTCCAGGTTAGATATCTGGGCGCTGTTGTGGTAAGTTATATAAATAAGAACAATAGTAGAAGAAGAGAAAGAGAATGGGGCGTGTGAAATGATCACAGTAAGGAACACAATGTCAGAATAAGGCTAAGAACAGAACTGGGAAGGAAAAGAATCGCCATCACAGGGGATGAAGAGAGAAGACAGTGGATAAAGAGCAAGAGATATAGGGAAAGAGCAAGCAGACAGGCAAAGAATGGAAAGGAGGGGACACAGAAATACAAAATAATGAAAAGACGTAGTATATTAGGAAACTGGAGAAAAACTTAAACTACAAAAAGTCCAAAACTGAAGCTAAGTGAGAGCAAAGGGGAGGGAAAAGAAAAATTAATTAAAAAAACAAGATCCAATAAAGAAATAAAAATATAAAATATACTTAAAACTAAAAAGAAAAAAGGAAGAAAAAGGAGAAAGTGATTCTGTGGAGACAGAGAATATGAGAGAGAAACTAAGAATAGTTTTCTATTTTGTAAAGTCCTGGAAACCTGCCCATAAAGAGCGCTGTATAAAAACTTGTCATTACTGTTGTTAATTTATTGCTTCTTTCTTATGAGGCAAGCTACACTGATGTAGCTATGTCCAGGCCTTGGAAGAGGATGGTGCCACTTTTGATACTAGTTTAAAGAAAGAGGTCTATGTTTGCATACAGATTCTTATTTTGCTTTGTGGCTGTGGCATCCTTGTAACTGAGACCTGCATAGTGCAAACAAAAGGAGTTTGCTGGACTGATGAAGCAATGTTTTCCTCTGGGTCTTTGGTTCCACATTTCCTCCCTACCAGCACAGGTATGTCTCACACATGTAAGACCTGTACACATCACTGACAAATCTCTCCCTCTGTGAGGTTGTAGATATCATGGGGCCTAGTGTTTTGGGTCAGGCTGAGACAGGAAGGTACGTGGGGTAGATTGCAGAGTGCCAGTCTGTGCTGAGCTTGGCTATGGCTAGTGCTTTTTGCTCTCTCATTTTCATGAAAACATCATTCATTCATAAATTTTTAAAGGAGAAGGAATCATTGTTTAATGAACTTTTGTGAAGAAAACTGAGCAAGGAAGAAAAGAAAAGAAACACTGTGAGCTCCTTACTCCCTAGACTTATGACCTGCATAACTCCAACCATTGTGTTATTTAGACAGCCTTCCTCTTTAGCTGACATTAAATTTGTATGCTCCCACATGGTTGACTTGCTACTTTTTTTTATCCATGCAGCTGGGATTCTCTGAGGAAACATGATGGGTCAGGGGGAGGAGGGGAGGCGAGGACAGCCATCTCCAAAATGCAGTGGATGTGCCTTTCCGGCTCTACGCTGGTTGCACTCAGGCAAGTACAAGCTGACGGGAATCGGCGGCGGCAGCCATGCAAACGAGGTCAGAGTTGGTTCCTCCATGGCTTTATTATTCTTCTGAGCACTCTGAAAATGTGGGTGTGCATGTTAAAACTGCCCTGTGAGGCAGCTCTGACATGTGGGGCTGCCTGGCACAAACACAGCACATAATAACACAAAGTATTTGGCAGCGTTACAGGGCTAATCTTTACGTAACTGTTCCCGAACAACTTCTCTAGCACACTGAGCACAAACAAGCTTTCCATCAGCCTTTGGCTGCATGCAGATTGTCTTGTGTCACCTGCTTCTCTGCTGAGCAAATACTAACTGTGGTCATGACAAGGAAAACCTTCTTTTGCATTCGTAACTGACTCTCCCTAAATTGCCTCCTTGTTTTCCAAGGCTATTCATGACCCATAGGCGTGTTCGTCAAGAACATACCCTTTTATAGAATTTTTCCTCTTAAGCACAAATGTATGCTGGAAATTATGTTGTGGATTGTTTTCAGGAGAGTGGTGGGAAAACAGGGCCTGATTTTTCAATGGTTTCCCCCCTGTTGACTAAAATCATAGGAGGAGGGATGTCTTTTATAGTTAAGACACTGGCGTGGGACTTTGGGAATCTGAGATTGGAATTATAATGTTTTATTCCTCCTACCCTTTGCCCCTCTTGCAAGATTTTAATGTAAGCTCTTTAAGATTATCTCCTAAGGTTTTGTTGCCTGGTTCAATGGGGCCTGGTCTCCATTAAGGCTTTTGTACTGCAGAGCAGCACCAGGGCACAAAATCAGGCAAAGAAAATAAAAACTAGACCTTCCCTAGCATCTTTGATCAGTGCTGGTAATGGATCTCCTGCTCTTGCACAAAGGCAAGCATGTGCAAACCTTTTCTTTGACTGGCAGAAGATGAGTGTTTTTAGCTGTCTCCCCCAGCCTCAGGTACTACCTGAGGTGGTGCCGTCTGTCCATCCGTCCATCCATCCATCCATTGCCACACAGTGCCACCTCCCCACCCAATCGCTCCTCGATTTGGGTGCTCTTTTCATTCACCGTTGTGCAGCCACAACACATGTGCTGCTCCGCAGCAAAGCCATGTGGCAAATATATAAAAGTATGTACGTTTCTGAATGCTGGAAGAGAGCCCTAATTCTGTTGGCAGCGAAGCTGACTCTCCTTCTTTCCTCGGAGCGAGGCCCGCCGCATTTCTCGGTCCCACAGACATAAACCCTCCCTGGAATTCTCCCAGTGCGGCGGCAGGCTGCCAGCCTGTGACTTCATCCTCGGCAGTTGCTCCAGGAGGGGCAACTCCTCTGCCTCAATGTTCAGGGAGTCTGAACTTCCTGCTCAATGCTTGTCTCACTCCCTCCAATCTGGTATTGGTCAAACTGGGGACCCTCTCCTGGTTCTTGGTTTAATCTTAGCTTGTGAGGAAAGGTTGCATGCCAGGAGGGAGGCAAAGCAAAGGGAGATTGCCAGACCCAAATGTTCCATAGTTGCAAAGATGGTTTCTAAATATTGAACTTCAAAAATAATTTGGCTTGCATGGAAAGGGGTGAGAAGGGGGAGAACTTTCTATCTGCCTGCTGGAATTTGGAGTCTATGGTTTTCTGGGGACACATTTCCAAGTTTTTATCATCAACTATAGGGGCTAGAAAACACTCTCTCATGTTAAATGAAAGCTGAAATTCCCCCTAGTCCTACACACTGAAGATCTGGAGCTTTAACCCTGACTAAATCACAACAAAATCTTTACAATCATCCCATGGAAAATGTCTATCACCAAAGAAAGAAAAATCCATACAGAAGGAGTCCTGAGCAAGTGCAGCTGTTAAGGGAGCAGTCACTTAGATACAACCAGGAAGGAGGGGAGGCGTTTTCTGTGATGTGAAGGAAGTTTGTGTAGCCAAAGGTGAAGAGATAGGGTCACCATGGTTTATTCCCAAGACCGTCCTATTGCTCCAGCAGTGTATTGATTTGTGGATCTCTGCAAAGCACATAGATCAGGTCAGAGAAGTCCCTACAATTCTTTTTACTCTCTTGAAGGTATGGATTTTTTCTTCTCTCTCCTACTTTTTTCTCTGTCTCCCTTTCACTTTTACTGGATTTCAAGGCAAGAGGCTGTTAATGTTATTTTAATTATTCTCCTTTTTTTTTACATAGGGTTTAATTTTGAAATCATTCATGGATTTGCCTAAAATGATAAAATGGTTTTTGATTTGCTTCCAAAAAGAAATATTTGATTAAAAAAAAAAAAAAAGAACTGAAATGCTCCATCCTTTCCAAATGCAATGCTCCCTTTTTTTTTTTTTTTTTTTTTTTTTTTTTTTTTTTTTGTTTTTGTTTGTTTTGAGAGCTCTTAATTTTGGAAGTGAATAGGGTACTCTGGGCATGGGCACTGCAGACCAATTTAGATTTCCTAGATTGCTTCAATAATCTGAAGAGTACTCCAGTAATTTTTAACTATTCTCCACCACATGCCTTCAAACCCATTCATTTTTTAACTGAAGTGACTATACTTAGGACAAACTCTGCTGTTCATTTGAAATTGTTCTATTCTGCATATCCATAGACTTCAAATTCCAATATAGAAACATTTTGCTGTAAGAATGTGTAACCAGTTAATGCTAAGACATTAATGGTCAACATTTTTTATGCAGTGCTCCTTGTCTGAGGCAAGGCCATGTCACCACTGCCAGTCTACTGCAGAAGACAAGCCCATAATGAGGCAAGACAACCTTTACATTTTGTTTTTTTTTTTAATCCCAGTGTTTCTCCTGCATTCAGCCTGAGATCAGTTTCTTTTATGGCTTTTTAATCTGCAGATCAAAATGCTTTTGCAGGTAGTTAAAACAGCCAGTACCTTTATGGCACACATATTTTCAGTTTTGGTAGGGACTGAAGTGCATCACTAAAAGTCTCACAGAGCATCATCAGAGGCAGAGGCAGGAAACAGTAAAACACAGGGAATTTTAATCCTTTTCTTCCTTCCTGTTGCACACACTGCACTTATGTCACACTGGGTACAGCCCTTGCTGGCACTTATACTATTGTATCTAGGCTGCTACTTGTTGCTGTTCTTTAGGGAGTAGTTATATTTCAAACACCACCCAGAAGAGAAAGCTCATGAGCTCTCTGCTGTGGATTTCATGCCCTAATTCCTCCCACCTTTACCTTGCATATAAAAAGTAGTTATTCTTAATTCATATTTCTATAAAAGCATGTCTGCATTTCCAAGAAATATGAGCATATTGTTCCAGGGAGGCTTTATGCTGCCTTAACTAATTAAAGATTAACAGTAGGGCAGTGCCGTATACTTTGCAGTCCACCTGATGTCTTATTCAATCATGATCTAGCATTAAAATTATTGGAAGGCGGCACAGTTTGCATTGATCTGCTCCTGGCTTGTCTTTTTGCTAAATGAGTGCTCATCTTTCACAAAAGGTATTAAGAGGGCACAGAGGACACATGAACATGCCCTGGATTATGACCTCTGTGGAAGCCTTGTGGTTCTCCTGGGGGAACAGCTGCCCTAAGGCTGGTTTTGCAGTGTCTTTTTGCTTGCAGAGGGAGGTTTGGTGATGCTTTAAGCATGATGCTTAAAGTTGATGAGAAACTATAACTAAGACCATGGCTTTTTTAAATTTTTTTTGGCTTACCATTTTTTAAATGAAGGTGCAGAGCACTATGTATCTGTAACCTTAAGGGCCGAATAGTTGTGGTATAAATTAAGGACTTTTTGGAATTGTTATGGTATGACCCTAGTGACAAACCAGATCTGAGACACAGATTCCAGAATACATCCTAAGTCAGTTTGAGCCTATTTTGCCATTCACTTCAGCTGAATTTTACAGTTCTCAACTACTACTGAGAATATTAATGAGAAAAACAGACTATTATAATATGATGGACAGAGAAAAATATTGTAAACATAAAAATGCTGTTACCATTTAATGATTATTAATGCATAGGAAACTCATACTTTTTTCAGGACTCTTGTAGGCATAGGGTTAGTCCTGTACTAGATACTTTTTGTTCTTCCTTTACAAGATTTCTTTATAAAATTAATGTTTCCAGGAAAGAAAGAGCTCTAGAGGCAAGGTAGATTGAGAATCCAGAACGTGAACTTGTGTAGCTTTAGGATTTCAGTCAATGACATCTACTTCCTCTGCATGCCTGTCCCCGCCTTGTTAGGAAGACTGTGCTGTTGGCAAGGTGGCACCTTTTGAATGAAATGTTAACTTGGTCCTGGCCACTTAGAAAAGCTAAAGATCTCTTAGAGAGTGGTATCTTAATCAATTTCTGACTGGCAAATTGCATTCTCCCTAGTTACGTTCCCTGAAATTTCAATCGGATGCAATCTTTTTCTTCACTTAGAGCCATCCTTTTTTATGTGCTAAGTGCTTGCTCTGTTTCAACTCTGATGGAGCTGATTTTCAAGAATAGGACTTTCATCATCTACCCAGAGCTTTGTGCTCTTTTGGAAAAAAATCGCTAATATATCTATTAAATATATGCTCTTGCTTGTTTGCTACAGTATTGTGGCATTAATAAGAGACAGAAGAATGATTTCACATAGTTCAATTACTTTGAAGAAGAACTCAAGAACATCTTTCTTTCTCAAATAATGCTTCTAAAGCTAGGTTTTTGTAACAATTGCTCAGTCAATTCCTCTTATAAATACTAAGATAATATCGTTAAATTATATTCACTATATTTCTTCTATTTTTAAATTGAAGACATAGGTTCAGAAAACAAAACACATGTATGCTTAGCTTTGCAGAACTCAATTTTCCTTTATTTGCCCCCTTTTTTTTTTTTTTATTAAGTCATGTAACTCAGTGGACGTCAGTGAAGTGCTGTGTTTAACTCCAAAGCAAATGAAGCATCTTTATAGGCCAGAGTTTCCTTCAGAAAGTTATAT